ATTGTATACACTAAAGGGGGCAAAAGAAAGAGTTGCTCCTTCAAATTAATCATAGAGGTTACTCAGGTTAGCGTTAGGGTGCTAACATAACACCCAATTTGTAAGCATCGTGCTAACATTAGCTGCACCCAATAGAATCTTGTTATTTTGATTACTTTTTTATCCCAATGAGTTAACCACAATTTATGCAGATTTGTAAAGTGGGCACGCTTGCCCTTGTTAAAAATTAGGGGGACGATACGATCTCGGGTTCATTATCAAAACTAGGGGTGGATACATGGTTAATCTACGGTTTGATATCGATTCACCTGTAAATAACTTGAGCCATTATGAGTGAATAATTGATGTGAGTGGATTACAAATTGACATATCTCTTACTCGCATTTATTCTGAGTGTGCGGTGGGTGGAATTGTTGCTTGGAAGGGTTGAATGGGAAAAAAGAAGGCGCCGGATGGATGGATGAGTCGTGATCTCTATCATGCGCCTCCTTTAATTGCAAAAGGCAAGCAAAAGAAACCTTCTCCGGCTCCTCAATGCTCACGTCCCACTCGCCACACGGAGGTCGTGGGGAAGCGCAGCCTCTAATGCGAAGAATCTAGCACTACGATTGGCTAGGTGGAAGCACGCGCCGACGCGAGAAAGTGTGTCATTAATGAAGGCCAATGCTTTCCGGGGAGCATAAATAAGTTAGGGGTCGTTTGGATGGATCAATTGTAAAACGAGACAATTTGACCAATTGTTTCATTTTACAAAACGAGTCATTTAAAACGAGTCAATTCAGATTACCTGCGCCACACCAGACAATTGTAACTGACTCAAAATGAGTCAATTCAGAATTCCCCAGCCCAAATTGCTTCATCCAAATTTTCTGCTGCCAAACGGATCAATCTAGCACAATTGGCTTAAAACGAGACAATTGTGTGAAATTGATCCATTAAAAATTTAAAATTCCTCATCCAAATGACCCCTTAATAATAATGTCTCGTCCAAAAGTTTTGATTAGCTGATGGAGTGATGGGTTGGGAAGGAAATAATTCAAAGATAGAAAGCAAGAGAAAAGGGGAAGGAGGACCCATAACGAAATTAAAAAGGTGGCGGTAGAAGAAGATGGTGATGACTGGTGAGGGAACCATTTCAACTCCATAACCATAAACATAACCAGCCATTAATATTGATGATCTCGAGTTCTGGACTTGATTCGTGTTTCAATTTTGTATTATTTTTTTGGATAAATGCCATACTTGGTTAATGAGATTACTAAATCATGTCATGTTTAGTCACTAGAAAAATCTTTTGACAAAAAAAAAAGTCACTAGAAAAATTTAATATAAATTTTGGTCACTCGAATTACTGGAACAGGTCACATTTAGTCACTGTGCCGTTAGTTTCTGCCCAACTTCATTAATGGAGTTGGTCGGAAACTAACGGGAGAGTGACTAAATGTGATATTTTCAGTAATTCGAGTGACTAAATGTGACATGTTTCAGTAATTCGAGTGACTGGAGTTGGTCGGAGGATAACGGGAGAGTGACTAACTGTGACCTGTTTCAGTAATTCGAGTGACCAAAATTGATATTAAATTTATCTAGTGACTAAATATAACACGATTTAGTAATCTTAGTGACCAAATGTGGCATTTACCCTTTTTTTTTTTTCAAAGATAACATGTAGCAGGATTATTGGTCTTTCGTCTGCTTGTTATTGTGTTACGACTCGCTTCATTTACAACTTTTTATCTATAGCCTTCCTACGATCATTTCTCTTACTTTAATCTTTTCTAAGCATGGACATATGTCTTTCGAATATCCTTGGTTCGCCTATAGAGTGCATCTCCTTCGGTTTCTGGTATGGTTGTTGAATTGTAGCTCTGATTCGTTTGAACGTATGTTAAAGGAAGTTTATACGTATTGATCGGTGTCTCAAGTAGAGCTAATATTGCACTTGACATAATACTAACATGGAGCTAAGGTAGTCATTGTAGATGTGCCTCATTGTCATTCCTGATCATAACAGTCCAAACCATTTTTAAATAATGGGAAAAGGTAGGGACAATGCCCTTCATAAGCAAAGACATTTCAGCCAACTTAGAAATAAAAAGTTAACAATATTATCTCAAGATTCAAATAATTACAAGATAATAATTTGATCCACGCCGTTTACAACGTATCATGGCGAGATTTCATATTTTGATAACATTGTATAATACATTTCTTGTCCAAAGTAGCAGACAAATCTCATTCACTTTATGTCACTAATGCACCAGTTAACCACTCGTCGTTCATCCGGCTCTGACGATCGTTCTTGATATATTGCATTAATGTATGGATAATTGTTTTAAATAGAAGTGTATATGCATAATGAAATCGTACAATTTATCTTATGAGAATGATAAGACAGGGTATTACGAATTCACCGGATTGTGAGTTCTATATATAATTAACCAACATGTTGTAGAAATTCACTTGCCCCCACCCAAGGAGGGTGCAAAGCACCCTCAAGGTTATACACAGCTCCGCCACTGCTTGTTCTACCCAACTACAACTGAGCTAATTTTGTCCATATCCCAAGGGAGGATAAACTTATCTGGCACTATGATAAATCTGGCCAGTACACAGTGAGGTCAGATTATCACCTTATAACAAATGAAATCAATCCATTTCACAATGATATTCCAGACTACTTGGACACAAATATGAGTATTTGTTACTTTATTTAGAATGTGTATTTTACTTAACTATGAATATGGATTGTAAGTTTCTTTTACAATGGCATCACTTGCATTGCACTTTGTAAGATCGATTACAAGAGAATCAAAGAAGAAAATGTTAGAAACACGTTTTCCTTAAGAAAATGGGGTTTCTACCATATTAATTATTATTGTTATTATTAGGTTTTATTAAATATGGTTAGTAGTCTTTTAGTAGAATTAGGTTTAGTATTAGGTTTTCCTATCTTTTCCTATAAATATGTACTTGGGTATTCCGTTACAATTAAGCAAGAACAATTATTCAGAAAAGTATCTCAAATCCTAATCTCTCTCAACTTCGTCACCTATCCCTAGGTCGTCGGCCATTCTTCTCCTCGATCCCCAATTTCCTCTTCTAAATCCCTAATCCCCAATTCTATCTCAATCCCTAAATATCTATCAATTCTTAATCTTATCAAACCGATCGTTAGAACCCTAGAATTAGGTTTCTAACAGAAAACCAGAAACAAATCAGGAGTATACATCTCCAAGCAAAAAGTTGAAACAATCAGTGTTTTAGAGATAATACAAGGGAAGCACAGTCACCAAATGAACCAACCCCAACATTGGATCTGAAACACTTGATCCACATCTAGTAAACACAAATCTCTTGCAACCAAACCAAACAAAGTAGCACCTAACGCAGACAACTCGTCCGATCCGACTAAGACCATGGCTATTGAACACAACAATGCATAAGCCGCCTCCTGGGATTTGTCCGAAGACGCTCATCACAGTGAATCTCAGATGTGGGATTACATGACGGTGGTCAGTGTTGAGAATCAGATTGCTCCAAGCTGAAGAAGCAGAGGGAGCCAGGGAACCAAATCTTGGTGAAAGCGAGCGAGAACCCATACCCCAAAATCCAAGAACTGTCACCATGGCCAACCGGATCAGACACCGCCATCCACCCACCAACGACGACCAAGAGGCATATCTAAACCACCAGCAGAGGCCAAAGGGGGAAATCTGTGAAAGGATTCACCAAAAGAAAGATAAATCTACCATCTTGAGGGACAACCACTACATATAGTCTGATAGAGACGCCCAAAATGCATAATCCAACTGCAAGGAGAGCAAACCCAGAAATAAGAACCCTAAAACGTAAATAATTGAAAGGCCACATAGGTTGGAAATGCAGAAAAAAAAACTGAAAAATTCGATGGAAAAGCCTAAAAACATAGGCATGAGAGCTTAAAAAGGAAGAAGGGAAATGGAGGGATCATTGGGCTACCCCATGTCACCAAAAGGCATAGTTAGTAAAATACGGTACGGGAAAGTTACTTATAAAGTACGTACGGGTATTTTACGTCGTCTCTAAGCTCATGTTATGTTTAATAGTACGTTAATAGTCATAAATATATAAAATTAATTATTTTTATAAATAAATAATAGTAAATTTAACAATTTAATTCATTAAATACAAATATTAAACGTGTTATATGGGTTTTATATGTGTTTATTACGGGAGCCATCAAATGAATGGGAAAAAATGAAACAACTTGACAATAACACGAATACAGAAGTTTTAAACGGATAAAATGCGTACGAGTACATATACGTATATTAAACGGAGTATTTACTAATTATGCCTAAAGGTGCCAACAACAACCCCTGGGAAGCTGAACTAGGGAGAGGGCATAAAGCACTTCTCAATTAAAGTAAGGGGCCGTTTGGAAGTTGCGATAGTTTTGTTGAGATTGTCATTATGCATGTATTGTTTACCATGCATCGTTTTTTTTTGTTTTTTTAGCAGAAACAATACATGGATTGTTTCTGTGATGTGACAGAAACTATCACTCATTTTGAGTGATTGACTGATTGTTATATCTCAACTTTTAGTTGTGATTGTTGAGATAGTTGAGTTGAGATTGTTTTGTCTCAGCTTTTAGCTGATGCGACATACACAATCACACATACCAAACGTTGTATTCTATAATGCATCAAATTCGACAATACATGTATAATATTATACATGCATTCTCAACAATACATTTATTTAACAATCGCAACTTCCAAACGACTCCTAAGAGAAAGAGGGCACGGAAATTTGCTTTAAAATTTAATAAATTTTTTATAGTTTTACACATTTTTTCTTTTGGTAAAATTTTTACACATTTTTTAAATCAACATTACCCGACATAAACTAATCGTATCATAAGTCGAACCGTCCACGGGCTAAATCGATGAACGAAATAAACCGGTTTGAAACCTCGCTCACAAGTCACCACAGTCCACAACCTCGCGAGAAAAAAGAAAACAACTTGAAAAAGAATAACTAAGCGCAGACGGGAAAAAGGGTGCGAGCAGAGCAGAAAGATAAATTGATGGGGTCTTCTCCAATCTCCCCTATTCGCCTCTCTCTTTTCCGTTTCTCCGCCATAGTTTCTCTCCTTCCTTCCTCCCTTCCCAAACAAACCGGCTGTTCGCCAGTTTTACAGAGCAGAGCAGAAAGAAGAAGCGAAAAGCTGGACAGATTCAATGAACCGTCGCCTCCCTTCATTTTCACTCTCTAGCTGGTTTCCCTCAACACCGCTGCTCCGTTCGTAGCTACTGCGATCTCAGCCCGCGACGAAATCCCCAGCTCCGTCTCGCCCTTCCCTTCCTCATGGATACGCCTACGCCGCCGACGGAAGAGCTTCTCCGGAAGATTCAGGAGCTGGAAGCCGGTCAAGCTGAGCTCCAACAGGAGATGACGAAGCTTAAGCTCTCTTCCGATCCAAAATCTGAGAATCTTATCCTTCACCAGCAACAGCAGCAGCACCATCACCACCACCATCTTCACCACCATCCTCGCTCCCAGTCAATCTCGCCTCAGCGTCCTGGGACTAGAAGGAGCTTCGACAGGGCTGCGTCTATGAAGAAGACCTCGCCGCCGTTTAGGCATTCGTCTCCCTTGCAGAGAGAGTCTCGCCGTCCGAAAAGCGGTCCCAATAGGATTAATGTTGGCGAAGATGTCGGCGGCGGTGGAGAGAGTGCCGGTCCGTCGGCTATTAAGTTTACTGATAAGCAGTACTTGAACATATTGCAGTCCATGGGGCAGTCCATTCATATTTTCGAACCTGACGGCCGTCTTATCTACTGGTAAACTGACTATTGATAGCAGTTCATAGTTTAAGTTCCGTTTCTAATCTCTGTTGACGTGAAGCTCGTTATCGTCAATGGCGATTCGATTTCATTTCTGGCGATGGTGGTTGAATTTATCGGAATCACTAGCTTTTCTGCTTATTTCTGCTGCATTCTCTATGTTGAATTTTGGCGCATGCCAATAATTTTTTTTTTTCAGGAATCGAAGGGCTGAGAAACTGTTTGGCTGGACTGCGGCAGAAGCTCTAGGTCAGTACAACATTGACCTGCTTGTAGATCCTAGGGACGCCATGCTTGCGCAGACCATTATTGATCGCAACGGTGTGGGAGAGAGCTGGACTGGACAGTTCCCTGTGAGAAACAAGATGGGTGATAGGTTTACAATTGTGGCCACCAATACCCCTTTCTACGACGACAACGGCGATTTGATTGGAATTATATGTGTATCAAATGATTCACGGCCATTCCAAGAAGTGATCGTCGATTTATCTGGTCCGAAGAGTTCAGAAGCAGACTCAAGTTCTACCCGTGCTTGTGTTAGAAGCAGCACCAGTGTCTCTGCTAAGCTTGGGCTCGATTCCCAGCAGCCTCTGCAAGCAGCAATTGCGTCTAAGATATCAAACTTGGTTAGTTCCGTTAATAGTTTTATGCTTTCCACATTTGGCTATCTGCACTTTGCATGTATTGATGTTCTTGGCCTCAAATCAGGCTACCAAAGTGAGCAACAAGGTGAAGTCGAAGATTCGAACTGGAGAGAACAATGTCGATCATCGTGAAGGTGTTAGTGGAGATAGCCATCATTCTGATCATGGTCATGGCTTCCAGGAAGTAGTAGCAGACCATAGGGATGATGCAAACTCTAGTGGTGCTAGTACCCCCAGAGCCAGTACACCGAGGGGAGATTTTCATCCATCTCCTTTTGTTGTTTCACATTATGGCGATGAGAGTGATGGGAAACCTCCAATCCACAAGATTATCACTTCGAAGGCAGAAGCTTGGATGGGTAAAAAAGGAATATCGTGGCCATGGAAAGGGAACGAAAGGGAAGTTTCAGAGTCAAGACCCACCAAATTTGTTTGGCCTTGGTTGCAGAATGATCAGGAGGGTGAAAAGAGTCCCTCTTATGGTGGTACCAAAACTGAGAGTTACTTTAATGAAGGTACTAATCGCCATGGCATTAGTGAGGCATCTGGGTCATGGTCATCCTCTGCAAATGTTAACAGCACGGGCAGTGTCAGCAGTTGTGGTAGCACAAGCAGTACTGTTAATAGGTTAGATATGGAAAGTGACTGCTTAGATTCTGAAATACTGTGGGAAGATTTGACCATCGGGGAACAAATTGGACAAGGTTTCCATCTTAGTAAACCTACTCTTATGCTATTTTTCTAGAAGTAGGACTGGGTTTAAAGATTTCTTTGTTAAATTGGTCATGTTGAGACATTCTTCTGACTCTTTTGATGGTGCAGGATCTTGTGGGACTGTCTATCATGCCCTGTGGTATGGATCAGTATGTTTTTCCCCTCATCCTTATATCTTATTCTAATTCCATTTCTGACAACTGAATCCAGGATACTAGCATCCTGAAGTTCGACGTAGATGTCTCGAATATGAACTTTCCTTTGTCTTGCCAAATTAGGCTGACATTGTTCATACCCGACATTAGATTTACCTTTTCTATGTGTGTATCAGTAGTAGAACTGCACAATAGTGTGTTGGCTAGTTTCTTTGTCAAGCCATTTTGTCAAATACTCAAATATACTAAATATGCATGATTACTATTTTGGTGGTTGAAACTTGAAAGATAGGCCACTTTTGTTTTCAGGACGTTGCAGTCAAGGTATTCTCCAAGCAAGAGTATTCAGACGATGTGATACTTTCATTTAGACAAGAGGTGTGCTTGTTCTTTCTTATGTACTATCATCTATAATTGACACATCCCTCTTATCCCTTTTGTTTGATCCTCCGATAATTATTCTTCGATGAAGGTATCCCTTATGAAAAGACTTCGCCATCCCAATGTGCTGCTCTTTATGGGCGCCGTGACCTCACCTCAGCGTCTCTGTATCGTTACAGAGTTCCTTCCTCGGTACTTCCTGAAAGCTACAATTCTCAAGTTGCTAGCTCTATAATTCTTTGTCCAATGCATGTCCTGATTCTTTGTTTTTGCGACTGCAAATCAATTATGGCATCTAGCTAGTATTACCTAAAAGGGATATGCTCACTAGGCTGAGACACACTTTCCAATTTTGCCTGTTATGCAGTGGAAGTTTGTTTCGTTTGATCCAAAAGAACACAGCCAAACTAGAGTGGAGACGGAGAGTACACATGGCTTTGGATATTGTAAGCAGTCGTCTTTGCTTGTTTCTTTCAATGCTTACATTTCTCCTGAAAAGTTTATGTTTCTTATTATTCATCTCTCGGTAGATGAACCGTTTGCTCATACACAATCCTACTGTGGTATCATCTGTTGCAACAGGCAAGGGGTATGAATTATCTTCATCATTTCAACCCACCTATAGTTCATCGTGACTTGAAGTCTTCTAATCTTCTGGTTGATAAGAATTGGACGGTAAAGGTAAAGTCTACCGTTGATTAATTTGGGTTTTGCTTGTTAGTTGTGACCCCTGATACTGAAAAACCAAAAGCAAATAATCTGATGGCTATCTGACCAGGTTGGTGATTTTGGGCTATCTCGTCTAAAGCATGACACATTTCTGACAACCAAGTCCGGGAAAGGCACAGTAAGCATTTAATCTAGTGTCTGTACAATGGAAATGAAAATGCAATGTCATGTCTGAATGCTTTTTCTAGTTGTGACTTGTGATTTCTAGAATTGTTGAGATTTGATTCATCCAGAAAAGAAAACATCTGATGTTTTTGAATGAAAGAAATGGAATTTCATTCAACCCTTCGGATTTCCTGTTCCTATTGAAAAAATTAGGTATGGTTATATTCTTCAGATAGGAATTAGTTAGGTGGAAATGAATTTCATGAATCCCATAACAAATTATTGGTAATCTTCTTCTTGCTCGTTGCCTTCGCTTTCCTGCAACTATCTTGCTTTTTTATTTTTTTTCAAGAAGGACCAGTTGTTTGTATTTTCTCTCATTCAAACTACATTTTATTTTGATTGTTGTGGGAATTGTTCTGAACTCGATATCTTGAGAACTCTAAAAAATGGAAACACTAATAATATATTGCATTAAAAAAACTAATGGGCTATTTTCCTATTGCCTGTGCAGCCTCAATGGATGGCGCCAGAAGTTCTCCGCAACGAACCCTCCGATGAGAAGTAATTGGCCCTACTCTTGTTTTCTTGCTATGCATTTCTTCGTCGAAAGTTCTGGCTAGTCATCCTGCTTGATTACTTCAATTCCTCTTCCATGCAGGTCTGACATCTACAGCTTTGGAGTGGTACTGTGGGAACTTGCGACCGAGAAGATTCCTTGGGATAATCTCAACTCAATGCAGGTACTATAAGAAGCATATTTTCCCCCGTCCAGCTATCTGACAAGATTCAGCATGGCATATATGAGCAGAATCATTGATTTAGTATAATTTCAGGTAATTGGTGCCGTGGGATTCATGAACCAACGGTTAGAAATACCAAAAGACCTAGATCCCCGTTGGGCCTCTATAATTGAGAGCTGCTGGCTCAGGTACGTCACCATTTTCAGCCTCATTCTTTCCTTCCCAGAGTTTTGGTCCATTGAATGTACTCTTGCTGATGTTAGCTAGATCCTAGGTATAAGACATTTCTTTTCTATCATTATGTGAAATAATCCTGCAATAGCGTCAACATGCAATACCTATCAGAAAACAAAAACCGGGTGGTCTGAACTGGATCTCTTAACATGTTCCCTTTAGGTGCTGGCATTGGCTTTGCAGTTTGTAGTGAACTGAATAGGATTCCATCTGCACTGAACTGATTTGGGTTGAATTGATATCTGAATTGGATAGGATGATATCCATGTATTAATTCTACCTAGTTCCGGTTCTCAATTCTAAGATTTTACTATTGGGATTTGGTTCCACCCATGCTGCACCATATAGAATCAAGGAACCGTGAGGACAATAACCGAGCCGAATTTGAAACAAAGCATACTTGGTAGGGGTGTCAGTTCGGGTCGGGTTCGGTTACCAAAAAACCCGAAACCGATAAGGACTTTTGGTTTCCGGTTACCCGAAAACGATAAGGACTTTCGGTTTCCGGTTACCCGAAAACCCAAAAATTCCTTATCGGGTTCGGTTAAAGCAAAGCCGAAACCCAAAAACCCGAATGCCTAAGAATACGGGCTGAGTTATATTCCTTGGAGGTTCTCAGACGGAACCCGAAAACCCGATAAGCAAAACCGAAAAACCCGAAACAAACCGAACCCGAAAAACCGAAAATGTATCTAAGCGGGTCGGTTTTGGGTAAACCCGAAAAAACGAACCCGAATGGACACCCCTAATACTTGGATCAGTCTAACAATTCGATCTGATCAATATTCTTTTGTCATACGATTTCTGTTTCAGTTTTTGTTTCTTTTTTTTTTTTATCTTTGTGGAACTGTCTAACGTGTCATGCCCTGTTATTTTGGGTTTGGTAAACCCTATATTGCAGTGATCCAGCCAGCCGCCCGTCGTTCCAAGAACTCCTGGAAAAGCTGAGGGGCCTTCAGAGGCAGTACACCATTCAGCTCCAGGCGGCCCGTTCTTCCGCAGCAGCTGGAGAGCATCACACCACCATCCTCCACAAGGAAAGATAGCCACGCCAAGCCAACTGCGTGGCGCGATGAGAACAAACTATGTAGCATCTGCGTCGAGAATTTAAGAACCTCCACAAGTCCCGCTGAAACCTTTTCGGCGTCATATTTAAGAAGAAAAGATCCATTCCCCACACCGCCCCCGATTTTGATTGCCGGGAAGGAATCCATGTGGATTTGTAGTGCCACGCAGTGACAGAACAATCTACAGAGTCAAATGTTGCTGACGGGGGGGCAGAAAGGCACAAAATAGGAGGGTTTTTTCTTATGGCAGCAGCCATGTGAAGAGATTTTCGGGAAAGGTCTTTTTGAGGTTTGTTTTTTTCATGGTGGGCACTGGGCTGGCTGAGTTGGGACTTCGGAGTCGTTGGTGCGCGCGTTTTTTGTACATGTTTCTGGGACGCGCCAATATTGAAGATCGAGAGGGAGGGCGGTGCTGTCATTTGCTGTCATTTTAGTTTGGGGGGAAGGATTCATTCCCAAATTTATTAGTTCATTGTATCCACTGTAGGAATTCGTTGTGCAGATTCAAAAGATTATATAAAAGGAAAAAAGGCGGACGAAGTCAGTGAATTTAGATTAATGGTGTCTTCTGCGGTGTTCTCGTGATGTTCTCAAATTGACTCACTGTCTCACTCACTTGTTGATGGGTTGTTATAATTGTGTTGGGGGTTGTGGGTTGTTATTAGGGGTGGACAACGGGACGGGATACCCGTCCCGTTTGAAACGGGTACCCAATCCCGTTTGGAGAGTAAAGTCTATCCCAAGTCCCAAACCCATACGGGTAACGGGACGGATAACGGGTACCCGTTTATACCCGTTAAAACCCGCTGATCTGCTTTCCACAAATGAAAAAAAAAATTCAGTTGTCCATTTCCATAATCGACAGTCACTCACTGCTCACAAATGAAAAAGAACCCCCACTGTCCACAATAAAAACCCATACCCATTGGCCACAAATAAAAAAAAAACCCAATGTCCACAAGAAGAAGTTTGAAAGCTGATGAGAACTGGGTAGCTCAGCAGCAGCACGCAACGAGTACTCTGAAAGTGATGACAATCCAGATGCTATGGCTGTCGGCCTCAGGGGAATAGTAGGAGCGGCGGCGCATCGGGATTCGGAATGCAGATTCGGAATAGAGGTTGAGCCAGAGAAGAGGATTCAAGGGCGACGGGTGTCGGGGCAGGGATCTAGAGGAGAGGAGCGGCCGGCGGCGTCGGGATTCATCTTGCTCTGCTCTAGGTCTGCTGCTGCGAGCCGCGATCGCGAGAGAGGGAGAGTCTGTCTCTGTCTCTCAGGCTCACCGCTCACGAGTAGTCGCCACCGCCGAGTGAGGGAGAGGTGAGGCGAGATGGGCCTGGACGCTAGGCTGGGCTCGGGATTCTGGGCTGGGTTTATGTGTATTGGGTATTGGGAACTGATTTTAGAAATCAGATTTGGTGTAATGTGATTGGGTATAACGGGTACCCAAATTACCCAAACGGGTATTAGCGGGTAACCCGCGGGTACCCAATATTGAAATTACAATCCCAAATCCCATCCCACAATAAATATAACGGGTATTTGGGTACCCATAACCCTCAAAAAACGGGACGGGTATGGGTATACCCAAATACCCGTTTCCCGTTGTCCACCCCTAGTTGTTATAATTGTGTTGCGTGAGTAGCGGATGGGTGTGGTTGGGTATTAGCAAGGTTCTAAAAGGTGCTAGGCGTAAGGCAGGCGCTCGACTCCTGACTTGCACCTTGCCTGATTAGGCGTAGTCTAGGCGCGCCTAGGCGTTCACAGCATAAATGGAAAAAGTTCTCAAATATTTCCTGTTTTCTGGAATAATTCATATAATCCAAGTGCATATAAAATTAGCAATGCCTAGTTCTTAACAGTAAACACTTAACATAACAAATAACAAGCAAATAGTGACCACTTCCTAGAATCACAAGTTCATAAAATGTCGAAATACTAAACAATAGTCAATAATTTCATAGGAAAATGTTCATTCTTCATCATCCAAGTAGGTCCGTCCAGCCACCACTTCATCTTCATCATCCTCAAAAGCAATCTCCTCACCATCCTCCTCTTCCTCCTCTTCAGACCCTAATTCTTCATGATGGAGCTCTCTCACTCGTGCACTCCTGCGAAGCTCACTCTGTTCACCCGCCATTGCATCTGTAACAGTACTCGAGGGTGCACAATATGATTCCTCATCCTCATCTACGAATACATACATAGCATGGTCATCCCCTTCCCGTGTTTCTGATTTTCTAGGGCAAGAGGCAATTTTCTGATTTTCTAGGACAAAACGAAGAGTATTGGGTTTAACCTCCTAAGCTCGCCCAGGAACGCCCAGGCACGCCTTCTCTCCACTAGGCGCAAACTAAGCGCTATTCCTATCTACTAAGCGCTACCAGCGCCTTTTACAACGCCTATGGCCAAGTCAAGGCGATCCTCCATCGCCTAGCGCCTAATTGAGCCTTGGCGTGCGCCTAGGCGCGCCTTCTTGAACCCTGGGTATTAGTTAACCCGCAAAAATAATTTTCCAACTAATCATTAAAAAATGTTGACTAACATTTATAATAAGTTTATAGCAACGCTTTTGTGTGTAATTTGGGCAACTGTTCGATCACTTGTGTTGAGCTTAAAGCTGCTACGGTTGGCCTCAGGATTGCGTGGGAAGGTAACAGAAAAGTGGAGCTGAACCTTGACTCCAAAACTGTCATTTCCATTTTCAATTGCTCGGAGGATGATGATCATAGACATGGATTGCTTGCAGCATCCATTAGGTTCCTTTTGAACCTCGATTGGGAGGTTAAAATTTCTCATGTTTTTAGAGAAATGTACGTACCGGTGGACTATCTTACTCTATCAACCAATTGTGTTGTGTAGAGAAAATGTAGGTATTTTGTGATTTTGATACAACTATTAGTTTATAGTTTACATCCTAGTATCTAATTAATATTAACCATATCCAATATCTAATGGATAGAAGTGGCAATTCTCAATCCAATCCACCATCCCATTAAAAATATCCACCTAATCCAATCCATTTGATCCAAATCCAATTGGATTGGTGGATTCATGGATTGATCCATGGATCCAAATGGAAAATTATGGTTTGGTACCTATACTTTTTATATTTTACATTTTGGTACCAAAAATTTATTTTTTTATACGAAAATATCATTGGAAAATTACGTTTTGGTACCTAAAATTTTTCATTATGACATTTTAGTACCTAAACTTTTCACATTTTACATATTGGTCCTTGGTTGAGGATGACATTTGGATTCATGGATAATCCACCAATCCACTTGATCCAATCCATGAATCCACCAATCCATTGGATCCAATCCATTGGATCCATGAATCCACCAATCCAATCTGCCAATCCATGGATCAATCCATTTGCCACCTCTACTAATGAATATTATACAACACAATAACGGACAATAGTATTAAAAGACTATTATTTATTCTCCACCTTTATAAGTAGATGGTCAGTGTGTAGCGCGGTTCGGAAATATGATGAATATTCTAAAGTATAAGAAATTATATTTTTTATGTGAAAATAGGGTGCGGGTCATTCGAGTGACCAACATAAGTATGTGTAGGAGATTTATCAATTCGTAATCCACCCACATCAATCATCCACTGCTTGCGGTTCGGGTTATTTGCGGGTTGATCGATATCACCACACGAATTAAACACCCACGTACTCACCCTAGTGTTCTCCACTTGTACGTCTTAACTTTCTCTTTAGGGTAATGTCTATTTTTTATCCAAACCTTTTTCAGATTCTTTTATATTATCCAAACCTATTAAAATTATATAAATTATCCAAATTTTTCATAATGTATCAAAATATTAGTCATTTTTACGTTATCTTTAATAAAATTTTAACTCTTTTCTTAGTTAAAATACTAAAATTTTGGAATGTTGACCTTCATGAGTCTCTTTCAAGTCAGTATCATGTTGCCAAGTCAATATTGCTAATAAAATTGCTAACTGAAGGTCAACATTTGACTAATTTTTAGTATTTCGATAGGTTTGAATAATATAAAAGAATCAGAAAAAGGTTTGGATAAAAAATAGACATTACTCTTCTCTTGGGTCTTTAATACGAGTACTATTATATTATATATGCGTAATGTTATGTAATTTGGTAGAGTTAAATTTCTTATCAGAGTCGTAGAAGTCAAACAGTTTTATTAGTGTTAAAGTTATTATAAAGTATGTTATTATACTTTATATAAATCCTACATGGTTTCAGTAATAAGACAATATTTTTCATCGAATTGTAATTACCTAACATAGTACCAGACCCTGATTCATGGATAAAAAACCCTAAATTGTTATGGTGATGTGACGTGGGGGATGACGTTTTTGGTATTCTTACGAAACAAAAGACTAAAACAATAATTCTCAAAGGAAATAGCAAAGAAAATAGCGAATAAAGAACGAAAACTAAATATTTGAGTTCCAATCTTCTTATCCATTAAACGAAAAACAAGTACATATTTATATGCTAGGAAATCTTGACAATTCCCTCTGCATTTCCAACTAGATCGAGGACCCTTTCTTCCATTTCCTAACTGTTTGTGCCACGTACGCCTCACGCCCTGCGAATCCCTCGAGCTCCTTTCACTTCCTCCGCGCCTTGACCTCACGCTCACCCCCTGCACACGGCAGCGCGCACCGAGCCCCTTGGCAAGGGCTCGTTAGCACTCCGACGCCCAAGTTAGAACAGATTCTAGAGAGAGAAGTGAGATGTAAGCTTTAGAGAGAAGTTGGAACCTGAGTAAATGAGCTCCACCCACTTCACTATTTATACTCGAGGTAGGGTCGACCAATGCCCCCCAAATCCGCCCTACGTCATCACCTCATTAAATGCACTGTACCTTACTCCCCCAGGCGCCCCGACACTCTGACACCGACCTGCGCCATGGAGGCGCACGGCCCCACCCCCTGTCTCCTCCGTACGCTTCCGACCGTTACTCCCATTTTATCGTCATGCGCCCCTCCCTCGGCCTGGTCCCACTGCTTGGGCCTTGGTCTCTGGCCCTCTCTTGGGCCGAGTTTCTCCCTCGCCAGGCCCACACTCCCGGCCCACGATGGCACCTTGGCCCTTTACTTGGGCCCTTCTTTCCATGCCCCCAACAATTGCCCCCCAGTTAGGCGCCTACCGCCTGGTGGGGGCCTAACTAACCCATGCGCCCCTAGCTGCACCCCCTGTCATAGTGCGCCCTCCTTGGTTTCCCAGCTCTTCCCGGGGAGCGCGTCTTGCCTTTGCTCCCCTTTTGCAGTGCGCTTTTGGGTTTCATTCTTCTCATCGAGGCGCCCTTCTCTCCTTCTTTCTTCATTTAAATTTTTTTCATTTATTGTTGGCTGACTGTTGGGCTTCCGCCTTAATTACGGGCGGACCGTTGGGCTCCCGCTTTGATCACTGGTCCATTCCCCCCTCCCCCTAGGGTGAAGCGATTTCAAATTTGAATTTTGAATTCGCCTCAGCCTAGGTGACCTTACGACTTCCCTACTCCGCTCTCTCTCCCCCGATTCTCGCCTATAAATTGCCCTCCTCACTTCTTTCTTCCTCACTTTCT